AAATTTAAAAACAAGTTGGAAGATTAATCGTTGTTAATTCTTTCGTTTCAGTTTTATATTAATTTCTCACAATTAGTAGGTGCTTTCGATTATTTTCAATGCTCCTAGTTTCTTACTTGATCTCACAGTTTTCTATCCTAATTTAAATTTGACGAAAATTTAAAAACAAGTTGGAAGATTAATCGTTGTTCTTTCGTTTCATTCATCCTTTCTTTCTAATTTAAATTTGATGAAAATTTAAAGACGAGTTGAAAGATTAATTTGTTGTCAATTCTTTCGTTTCAGTTTTATATTAATTTCCTTTTTTCTTAAATATGCAATTGTGGAGCTTCCTAATATTTGAAGTTTCTGTAAATGTTAGCCAACTCGTTATATTCTCGATTAAACATAATAAAAAGAAGTCGTAATTGTAGTATTTGCGGCACTTTGAAAAATCTCGTCTCTACTCATTTCGCTGTGTCAACAACGCGTGGAAGAAAACAAAAGTATAGTAGGTACGCGAAACTTCATCTACTACTCGTGCGCGTAGAAGTGTGTACACACGTTGATACGTGTATATAGGGGTTGACATATCGCGTAAGTTAAGATAATTGGTCGTACGACGATCGGGACAAATATTATTTCGCGCAAGGGCGTACAGCGTACAGGGATTATATTTGTATGATAATACGTCATGCATGGGTGGTTCCCTACAACGGCAGAAAGGGGACACGATACTTGGGGAAGGATCGCACTCCCGATTCGTTTCGCCATTATTCGTTGTAATCGTTGCTTCATAAATATTCGCGAATTGACTTTTCTCTCGCCGATCGAAGTGGCGCAATTTATTAAGAAGAGGAACGAGAAGGAAGATTTCCAAATAGAGGGCGAAAAATTAGGTCAAAACTTTGAGAACTTAGATTTTTCAACTTTCCCTTTCATTCCTGGAAATTTTATAATCAATCCGAACGTAATTTTGGTTTTTTGCCATAAGCGTACCAATGATATAACTTCGTAAAAAGAGATCGTATAACGATCCACTTGGTCTCGTTTTAAAACAACGAAGCTTGTATTTTGACAATAGTGAATTTGTTTTTCTCGAAAATGTTTCTTCATCATGTAGCGGAGGGAACAAATTTTCCTCGAAAATTGTAAAAATTTAAACATATGTATGTAAACAGATCAACAAATTTTTCTTCAGACAAAATTTAGCATGGTCTCGAAGATTGATATTCTTTTTCTTTACAATAACCTCTTAAATCTTGCTGTACGATTTTTTCCCAAAATGTTGGGAATTTTCGAATTTTTATAATATTCAATATTCAATAAAATTAAAGAATTCTTTCAATAAAAAAAGAAAAAAAAATTGTAGAACAAGATTCAGGGAATCACTGCGAAGGGAAAACTTTAATCTTCCACTCTAAATGATGGATCTAGTCGCGAGGAAAGATTTTTAACATTTTCGCGCACGTTCGAATCTTTACAATTTTCGAGAAAAATGTGTCCTCAGTTTCCCATCCGCTGTGTGACGTAAAATCATCTTCAAACGAAACGAACTCGCAAGCATCAAAATAGAAGCTTCGCTCTTTGAAACGAGGCCGAGTGGATCACTATGCATATATACGATCTCTCTTTACAAAATTATATACCAGCTGAAATTATTCATAATTGGTCATTGCTATTGGTACGATTGTAGCATTTGCCAAAAATTCGTCAAAGATTCCCCGCAAACGTAATCGCACTCTTTCGAAACGTCTCTTGCTCGATTAACTAACTCGCATTGTTGTTTTAGCATGTCGATCGGGGAGGAAGGATCCAAAGGCAGCGCGCGAGCGTTTCAAACAATAGAACGCAAGACAGCTTCATATCCACCATAGTAGGACGTGGTCACAGGCCTGGAAGAAACGCGAAGTGACACGTTCGACCGATTCGAAAATTCGGTAGCTTTCCGTTACCCCGAAGATGATACCGCCGTTGCGTCCCTAGGGAGCCTTTGTAGCCAGCGGCCACCGCCACCCCCGCGCGAAAGCCTCTCCTTAAGGGTCGGATAAGAGGAAGAAACAAATCCGCCACCTTTGGATATGAGAAGACGAGCGATGGCCGCCGCGATAACCGACCGGTAAGCTGTCTAGGAATGTCGGCCTTCTCCGTCGTGTCGTCTCCCTTTCTATTTTATTCCTGTCTCTCTTCTCCTCCCTTCTCTTCCTTTCTACTCTTTTCTCTTCTCTTCTCTTCTCTTCTCTTCTCTTCTCTTCTCTTCTGTTCTGTTCTCCTCTCGGTTCCAACAGTGCCTGACACGACATCCGAGAAGCCTTCATCAAGAGCCCGATATCGAATGTGTCCGCTGTTACCCCATCAGCCGTCCACCGAGGATCGAATACGCCTTTGACTCTCTCGATCGCGGTCAAACCTCGGATCCCTCCGACTTTTCGGAATTTCTAAAGGCGACGTGTCACTGTTTTTTTCTTTTTTTGGTTTGTTTCCTTTCCACGTGTAGACTACGGTGGATAGATAGCGTAACAGTGGAACTGATGAATCGATAAAAAAAAAAAAAGAGAGAAGGGCAACGGAATTGGATAGAAATGTGAGAATGACTTTGATTTTTAAAGTTACGAGAACGAAGATTTTTTTATTCATGTAGGTATAGATATAGAGAGTGGTGTTCAGCGTTTGAGTTTTAACTCTTTCATTACGAGCGTCGGATATATACGGCATTGCATTTTGGAGTAATCGCATGTTGAAAATATATAACACACTTTAGCCATCGAGACGAGCTTTTTCTATCTTTTGTACTATTCGACAGTGGAGTATTTATACGATAAGAAAGTATTAATAAACACTCATTAATAAATTAGTAATAGAAACTCGTTCTTAATATATTAAAATTAATTCGGAAAAGACCGGCTATAATTGTTGATCTCTTAAAAATTTAAGTTTAAACTTTGTTTCGAAGAATTTAAGTTTGTTTTCTAAAAAGAATCTATTTCACCTTTTTTGTGAAAATGTTACCAGGAAATTTAAAAAAGATTCTAGTTCTAAAACGGATTGACAGACTCGGAAAATGATTCGATCAATATGTACACTTTTGTCGTGGGGTCTCGATTCAGTGGCGAAGCTAAATGGTTAAAAAGATTAACGATATTTAACAGCAGTACGAAGTAAGAATGATTCTTCGTCACGCCAAAGGACTATTCAAAGAAAGCCTCTGCACTGAGAGACAATCCCAAGCTCACCCTTCTCATTATCATTTATAAATCTTCCTACACCAAGAAATGTTAATTAAATATAAAATTTTGAATCAATAGTAGGAATCTTTTCAATAACTCACATTATTTCAGGTTTGTTCTTATCTACACATTACTGTCCAAATATTGATTTAACTTTTCTAAGAATTTCTCATATTATAAAAGATATTAATTCAGGATGATTAATTCGTTTAACTTCTTGCGCTGCCACGCACGTCGAGAATATTTTGCCCAGAATTGCAATATTTTTCCAGTTTTAAGTATATCAAAATATAACACAGGCGAAAGAGAAATAATAAATTTATTACTTATTAGTAATTTCTATCTAGTGTATACGACTTGGTCACTCGTTATGGTCCGCAATCAGTTGCCAGCGCAAGAAGTTAAACGAATCAATCATCCTGAATTAATATCTTTTATCTAATCAGTTGACAAGCATAAGACGTCCAATTGCACTGATCCCAACTACCGTGTCGCCTTCTTTCTCGAGTGAGAGGAGTCAAAACTTTGGTGAAGCGGCAAGAAAAATCCGCGGCGCCGATGGACACGGGCGGATCGCGGCGGCGTCCACGCGGAAACGTGACCATCCCCTGCTACGAAGAAAGGGGATCTTAACCCCCTTGCCCCCCCCCCGCGTCCTCTCTCTCTCTCTCTCTCTCTCTCTCTCACGGAGATGTTAATCCGTGGAAATTTTGTCGGCAAACACGGCGATTGTTCGTCGGAAGGGAGCGCTCGCGTTTACGTCACACCGCCCATTCTGAAAAGTAATCTACACCGTATTGTCGGGCCCCGTGTGGAAAAAGAGAATCCCGGCCGCCTCTCCGTGCTTAGGGCCGTCTGACGCTGGTCCTCTCGCTGTTTAACGCGGCCGGCTTACCTTCGATTCACGCAGAGAACGGAGGAACGGAGCGTGAGAGAGCACAGAGCAGCATAAGCGAGATGCACGGATAGATGAAGGAAGGAGGAGAACGCGAGAAAGAAAGATAAATTGACAGAGAGAGAGAGAGAGAGAGAGAGAGAGAAAGATTGAAAATGAAAGATAAAGAGAAAATAAGAGAGAGAGAGAGAGAGAAAGGAGGAGGCGCGCGCAGCTTGTGATCTGTCACGGGCATTGAGGATCGCGGTCGGATGATCGCGCGTAAGCACGTTATTCGCAGCGGCTTTTCAGCCGCGGTATATCGTTGCCTCTTACAGGGGTTGGACGCCGCAGCGCGCCGCTCCATACGCACAGGAAGGGGCAAGTAAGTAAGTCCCACCACCGTCTCTACGCGGATTATCTCTGGGCGGTGCGGACCGACACCGGCTTTTTTTTTTTCGCTACCTGGTCAGAGCCAGGCCGAAACCAGGATCCTGAATCTCGGTGTTGTAGTAGTAGTGCCTGGTTCGAGTCCCACACTGCAGCCGACAATGGCTGACATTTGTCGGCAGCGGGGTGGTTTTCCTTGATCTGACTCTAAGTTTCATTCGGTACGTACCTCTTTCGAAGAGTAGTAGCAGCAGCATGGGGATTTTTGCATCTTGAGACAATAGCAACTTGGAAGTTGGAACTTCTTTTGAAACACGATGAACAACCACCCCGCAATCGGTGTCCATCACCGAACAGCAGCAAACACGAACGAAACGGTAACGCGACGTCAGAACTGCTTTTGAAAATTATAAAGAAAGAGGAAACAAAGAAAGAAAAAAAAAAAAAAAAGAAAAAAAGAAAAATGAAAAGAATCGCGGCAACAGATATCCGCGAGCAACATTTTCTTCGAACCTTGACGCTGTTGCGGATCGCAGCTGTGTTGTGCATCGGATCCAGGCTACCTAATTTTCGAGAGGGCGTACAGCGCGCAAAGGGGGCGGGGGGAATGGAGGAGAGTGAGGAGAGGGAGGGGGGGGGGTCAGAAACCACCTGGAATCCCTGGGATCAGGGGAGTGAGAGCATTCGGATGCGCCGAGCCGTACAACGAGCCGCCACAGAATAAGGGATGCTCTTCCAATCCTGTCCTTGTCCCTCTGCCCTTCAAACGCGTGCGCGCGCGCGCGCGCGCTCCCGAACCATGTTTTCAGCCTACGGTATATGTACATCCAATCTATAGCACTTTTTACAGGATACGGACGTGCTCTCTTGTACGTACGTCGTACGTACATATAACTAAACACCCGTGCCACCCCTCCACCGCGCAACTACCCTTGTGGCTCTTGTAGTAGGGTACCAGCGAGACTTAAACACCAGTACACTTACCGCATGTTGCCATAATGAGTGGAAAGGGACGCGGTGAAGAAGGGATTTGGGGAAGAAGGGATGCAGAGGGCAGAAGCCCCAGAAGCAGCTCTCGTCGTTCCTCCTTTTTATCGAACGCCGCAAAAGGCGGCCCGATGATGCCTCGAAAGAAAGATTAAAGCGCCCGCGATCCGAAACGCCACGCAGTTTGTTTATCGGTCGCTTTTTTCTTTTTCTTTCTTCTATTTCTTCTTTTCTTTTCTTTTCGTTTCTTTTCTTTCTTTTCTTTTTCAAAGGCGGTTCTCTTGTACTCGTGGCGTGCGTTTCCCTTCCTCGTTCCGTAGTTCCTCGTCGCGTTGCAAACGGACCGCCGAACTTTGGTTCATCTGTATGTATGTATAATGCCTTTGATCCAAGTCTCTTGGCTTTGGCCGATTCTTCTTTTTTTGTCGCAGTTCTCGTCGGTTTGTTCTTTTCTATATTACAAAGTATCTGTGTTATATGACACGTTGTGTACAAAGTGTTTCGTAATTTGTGGGACCCACTTCGGTAGCTGATTGTACGCCTAAAAATAATGAAACAAAGTCATGTAAGTATATGTCCTATCTGTCTTCGTTTATGAGATATAATGAATTTTCTGTTTTCAATTATTTTTACAAAAGATTCTCGAAATAACCACGTTGCATTTGAAGACAAGCCTGCACGCGTCTTGTCATTCATCTGGTTACTCTTTCTATCATTCCTGGTGTTTCTCGGAAGCCTTGCTCTATTCTATTTCGTAATATTTCAGCATGTTCAATCGACGTTGCGTATACAATCGATTTTAAATGTCCCCACAATGTGAAAATCTAATGGATTCAAATCCGGAGAACAAGCAGGCCATGCAATAGGACCTCCACGACCAATCCATTTATTTGCAAAGTGTCGATTGAAAAATTGCCTAACCAGTCGGCTAAAATGCGGCGGAGCTCCATCATGCATAAACCGCATACGAATAATCTAATATCGACTGGAACTTTCTCTAATATTTCGTGTAAACGCGTGCTCAAAGAATCAACGTACTTTGTGCCTGTTAGTTTCCCATCGAGAAAAAAAGGTTCAATTAAAAATTTATCAATTATTCCTGCCCATACGTTTAAACTAAACTGGTGTTGATGTCTTGAATGCACAATAACGTGTGGGTTTTCTTCATCCCAATTATGATTATTATGAAAATTGAATATACCATGGTAAAACTAGCTTACCAGCGTTTGCTCTGTTTATAAAATTCATTATATCTCATGAACGAAGACAGACAGGACATATATTTATGTGACTTTTTTTCATTTTTAGGCGTATAATCAGTGGGTCCCACAAGTTACGAAACACTCTGTATATTATGTCTGTTAGACGATTCAGTCTTTTGCGTCGAGAATTCGGTTTTATTGTCATAAAAGAGAAGCGGGCATGTTTGCAAAGATAGCGTGACCCGAGAAAAAAAAAAAAAAGAAAAGAAAGAAGATACATCAAACAAGGAAGAAATAATCGATAGAGAGGAGGAAATGTGTAACGAGAGATGATCACAACCGACTCCTCAAGTTTGATTACGCGTGTATGACGTTCAGCAAGCCCCCGGGGTCCGGTTAGTTATTCGGCAAACACCGGCGTCGTCGTAATTATTATCGATATTGCGCTCTCTGCGCGCGTTCGTACACTGCCGCCTGTCTGCAAAATGTATTCCTCTGATGCGCATACCAACGTGTA